CCTGCAAGGAGGGAGGCGTTGGGAGGAAGAGAAGGGGAGCAAAGAAAGAAGGGAGAAGGTAGCGGAAGGAGGGAGAATGGAGAAAAGAGAGAGGGGAAATGTACTTTATCAGCGCCCCATGTACCAACGTCATCAGAACGTCACGAGAACTCGCCGACAGATAGAGCAACAGCTGTTGAGAAACAACGTGTTCACATACAACAGGGGACTGGACAGCTAAACATGGCTATGGTAGGAGAGAGGACGGCGAGGTTCCGTAATCATAGTGACAAGATGGCTTCCCATCTTCCCTGATAACGACCCAGCTATGGCGACTAAGTGGATCGGCTAGATGTGCATTGATCAGGATCCCGACCGGACGTGTCAACGAGACGCTGCAGGGAGGTTCGCCCCAGGAGTTCATGCGTGGTTTCCTACCTGAGTGAATGTTCTTGGATGCTGATTACTTCGATTAACTGATTGATCGATTGATTGGCTTCTGAGTGATTGATCGATTGATTGATCGATCGATTGACAAACTAACAGGAGTTCCTCAGGAGTAGACACTGATCTGTGAGTGAATAATTGCCGCCATCCCAGGCCTATCGATTTCCATAATCGTTGTTCTCAAACACAGGACTGCGGCGGAACGCGCCGCTGAACCTTCGCTGAGAGTTGCCTTCAATGCGCGCACGACGCGCGCCATGCGCTGTGCGTGGAACGGTGATGGGAGCGCGCTGAGAACTTGCTAGCATTTCCTGGTTTCCCGCCAAGCGGCATGAGAACTGATTACGATTCCCGCGGGTTTTTCGCCAGGTGGCGTAAGGGCTCGTCTCAAAACTTTCAATTCCCGCCGGTTTCCGGCTAAGTAGCACTCACCAGTGAGCTAACGACCACCCCTTTCTCATTTGGGATGCTTCTGCCGTGGCGCAGAATCCAGTAGCGATTCCGGAGAATCCCAGAGCGTGGCGGGGAAGCACACTGCGACGAGGATACTGGCGGGACTGTGCCACGCCCAGCCGTCGGCGGCGCGCACCTTGAAGCACGTCCCGCCATCACTCCCAGGCCTCCAGCGTCCGCAAGCCCGCGACAAGCGAACGATCAGCGTCGCCAACCCTGCCAACGGCCACCAGCACCCCCTGCCCGCAAATAACAGCCTCATGAACGTCTTTTCCGGGTCGACCGTCCCCCACAGTAGCTTCAAGGCTGTCCGCAGCCCTACCAGGGGCTGCGGTACAGTTCGCAGCTCTAATCGGCTGCGAATACCGCAGCCCATCAGGGTTGCATTTTGTACCCCTGAGTTCATTGACTTACCGTGAGGGCACGGGTGCACAGCCCGTAGTTAGTTTGTTTATCTGGTTCGGGAAGGGTAAGGTAGTGATTATGCTATATGTATGTTTTGTCATGTTCGCTATATATAACTCGAAGAGCGTGTGCGGTCCCGGTTGACGATGTTCATGGGACGCTGGACCCAGTTTCCAATAGGTGGCGCTCCCCATCAATACACAGGAGAATGTGTGTGTGTGTGTGTGTGTGTGTGTGTGTGTGTGTGTGTGTGAGAGAGAGAGAGAGAGAGAGGTTCAGGCTCACACACAAGGAAAGTTTGTGTG